AAGCATCATCAACACTAGTCTCACTGAGATTGAGTTAGAAATGCAAGACCCTGGATCCTATCCTAGACCTATTGAATCAAATTCTGCATGTTTTTAAATTGCTCTATTTTTTACTAGGTAACATTGGTTTATAGCACTGCATATGACTTAGGGGTACAGATTCGCACCTCTTTAGATATGTTACCACACCACACCCACCATTGCAATTTTGCATTTTTTAACAAGATCCTCAGTTTCATGCTACATTTTAACAGACTCCTGTGCATATTCAAGTTGAAAAATTACTAATTTGGATGGTACAAAAACTCATCCTTAAATGGCCTGTAATCACATGTAAGAAAATTATTTCTTTTCCACTTATCTTTCCATTTTTCTGATCACTTCACGGAAAAAGTCTCAGTTTGATACCAATATGACTTTAAAACCTATCTAAGAGGTATTAGTTTTCTTCTTTAAGAAATCTTCAGAATCTCAAGCAAGTAGTCATAGTTATCTTAACCATCATGGCATTATTGTATTTTCACTAAATTTATTTAAATAGCAGTTTAAAAAACGGTGCCAGTTTTCTAATTAAAATAATATAGAAATTTCCTTAAAATAAATTAAATAGAAAAGTGAGTGTGTTTAAAGAAAACACATAACAAATGGGAAGACATGATAGCTTTAATGCTTCCTTCCATGCCAGGAAACTCCACTGGTTTGACACCCCTGACCTCTCTCCACAGTGGCATCATTAAAGAACTTTATCACTCTGCATGAATGAGGGAGGAAGAACAGTGCTTTGTCTCACTGTAAATTTTGCATAAATGAAATGGACATGTTCTGGTCATTGTCTCTTTCTTCCTCTTGGAATTTAGAAATCCAGAGGATAATTCTTATAATTGACTGATAATTCCCAGTTCATTTAGTAAGGACCTAGTAGCAGATTATTCATTCAATACATCTGCCTATAATGTGCTGTTCTCTAGTTCTAAGTCTTCTCTTCTATTGCCTAGAGTTCCTCTGGAGAATTCCAGACCACCCTTTGGAGAATTCCAGACCAGCCTCTGGCAGGTGGCATCTTTGGTTTCTCAGCTTTTGAATCTGCTCAGAGGCAACAGTTGGGACATTGATGAGCTTAGAATCCTTCTAGTATAAGCATCAGGTATTCATCATCATGAATCATGAAACAAAAAACAGGTAATAGTATATAAGACACCTGACCCCTCATTGCCTAAGCAGCTCAGTCAGGAAGGGTTTTTGTGATCCTCTGTACCTGACACAAATTTCTGGCAAATGCCCTTAGCTTCTTCCTTGGAGAACAATAACTTTTATGCCTGCATCTCTGCATTAACTAAAGTAGGGCCCCTTCACTCTTTTTTATATCATTCTGTTTTTTTTTTATGTTGATGTAGTATTTATCTCTGCTTCTAACTTTATTTGTTTAGAGTCGGACTCCTCCTCTTAGATTGTGAATACAAGGATAGTAGAAACTATTCCTGTATTGTACATGTCTATATCTCAAGTACGTAGAATTTGCTGAATAAATGAGCCATGTGAGTATATTCCAATTGATGAAACAAGAAAACTAAGAAGTATATCCTTCCCAGATTTCAACTGGTTATTTTAGAATAGCAGCGTTCTGCCCTGGGACTGAGATTAATGTCAGTCATTGCTGCTGTGTGTGGCTCCAAATGCTGGACTTTTTTATCTAGAGCATTTTTTGTTATGGGTTAATATATTCTGATAACTAGAAAGTGTCTGTAGTAGCTTATAAAGGTAGCAGTAACTAAGCAAAAGATAAAAGCTTGTTAGTCAAGGAGGACCCAAAGGAAACTTTATCAAGAAATCTTTGTTAAGGTGTAATTTTCATTGAAATCTCTTCAATATCTGTCCCCCAAACTTCCCTTTCCACCCTTTGTAAAGTAAAGTTTATCTGGATATTCAAAGCTGGTTTGAAAAAATTACTCCGAGTCCCAGAGCAACTTCTGGTGAAATTCTCCAAAATCTTCTGAAACATATACTCATCTAAGTGGTTGCTCATAAAGGTACCATTTTTCATGTCAAATTAAATTATTTCATGTTTATTCTTCCTTTTCTCATTTTTCCTCATGACCACATAGATGGGAAATTTATAAATGATATACATAAAAGCATCAGTTGGTACCTTTGGTCTTCCTAAATATAAAGAGACCATGCTGAAAATTACTTCAAAACAAAAAGCAGTAGCCAAGGAACTGTACTGTGACCTTCTTAAAAGTGGAAGATGTTTGGGAGTGTCTGGCTTGTGTAAGAATTTTCATTGGGTTTATTGCCAGTGGTTTGGAGTCTCATATCACCATTGAAAGCACTGATGGGTAAACAGAAATTGCTCCTGGATACTGAATATTTTTTTCTTTGAAATCAAGCACATTTTTCATCTGTAACCCAAATTGATCTTAAGTAGTAACAAAAACAATATAAATGCTACTGTCCTGAAATACAGACACAAAGTTATCTCAGATACCAAATGCTCATAACTACTGTGATTGTGACTGCTGTTGTTGTAAAAATTAAAGGCCAGGGGAAATTGCAATTTAATTGAGAAATCCATCAGAGAGGAGAGAAAATTTAAAAAACACAGTTCTCAAAACACCATACCCCTTGAATCACATGCACATACAGACTTACACACTGACATTTTAGGGACCACCCATTCCGTGACAAATCCCACTTACTCACCCCCTTCATACCCATCAATTGCCTGCAGTAAATAACTGAATATTCTTCAATTCATAGTATTAATAACTCCCCTTTTTTTCCACACATTACCTTTCATGGTGTGGCTTTTCACCCATAATTCTGTGTGAATATTACAATTATCTCATGTAAAAGAGAGTCAGGGCCCTCCCTGGTGGTGCAGCCGGTTAAAGCACAGCACTGAGAAGCTAAAACTACTTTCGCATGAGTTCGATTCCCGCCTGCCCCGGAGGTGACCACATGGCGTGGCAGACCTCTCCTGACCCGCCCGCTGCTCCCCTCAGCAGTGTACTTTGTTAGTCAGCCTGTTCTGCTCCCCACTCTGTCTCTGGTGAATCCTCTCACCGCCCCTGATCCTCTGGCCTGTACCCCAGTTCTGATGCACAAATAAATAAATCTTTAAAAAAAAAAAAAAAAAGAGAGTCAGACATTCTGTTTCCATTTTTTTTTTAAAGATTTATTTATTTGTACATACAGAACTGGGGTACAGGCCAGAGGCTCAGGGGCAATGAGAGGCTTCACCAGAGACAAAGTGGGGAGCAGAACAGGCAGATCTACAAAGTACACTGCTGAGGGGCGCACCGGGCCGGTCAGGAGAGGTCTGCCACGCCATGTGGTCACCTCTGGGGCAGGTGAGAATCGAACTCATGCGGAAGTGGCTTTAGCTTCTCAGTGCAGTGCTTTAACCTGCTGCGCCACCAGGGAGGGCCCTATTTCCATTTTAAAGATAAAACTAAAAGCTTGTGTGATTTATCAAAGGTTATATAATAAGTAACTGGCAGAGACAGCACTAAGATTCCAAATTTCTGATTCTTTAACTGTGCTTTTTATGCAATGTTTCATCATATATCAGGAAGCCTGATATATCTGTAGGATTCTCAGAAGCTTATGCTATGGGGTGTCTCAAGACTGCAGGCCTGGATGCTGACTTAAGGGCAGTGAGAACTTGAGCGAAGTGTCATTACCAAGAAGGTTCTGGCAATGAGCAGTCATTTGGAAGAGAGAAACCAGAGCTTCTAAACTAGAAAACACAACCTGAAGCTAAATTTGAACTCCTCCAAACTAGGAAGGAGATATCAGCCAGCCAGTATTTGCCTCAAACACAAACCTAATAATAAATATGTATCTGAAGGTGGAGAGTTACATCTCATGAACTCCCATGTACCTTGAAGGTTAGTACCAAGAATTCATAAAGATACATCTAAGTCAATGTGCTCAATGCTAGTGAAATAATAAATTCATTGATGAGGGCAAATATGCCTGGTTGGCATCATCTTATAGCTATTCTTTTGAAACACAGCATATCTCTGAGATCTTCACCTGAAAAAAAAACAGCAAATTAAGTTTTGTTTATCTCCTGTCTCCACTGAGACAGGTTACTTGTCTAACCTAACGTCAAGGAGGTTCCAAGCTCATAAAAGATAACTCCACACTGCTGGCACAGATACAATCTTCTTGTTTTCTGAAACTAACTTTTTCACTGAGGCAGTGAGGACTCTTATTTCAATCATGTGTCCAGCTAGCATGGGGCTAGGTAATGTCACAAACATTATCACTTCTATTTCTCACAATAGTCCTGAGAGTTGGTCTTTTCACAGATGAGACAGGAAAGGATAGAAGAAGTTAAAAACCCCACTGTAACAGAATTCCTAGTTAGTCTTCAAATCTCAAAGCCATGGTCCTTCCACTCATAAGATATTGAGAACCCAAAGATATGACCCACTTGAGCTTTCGAGTAGGAAGGAGGTGGAGGGTGGAGGGACATCAATCTCCTATCCTTTCTTTTCAGTAATATTGAGGGTGGCAGAAGAAATTTAAGAGCAACAAGAGCTCCAAAGAGGGGAAAAGCTTTCACAGGAAAGGCAGTGAATCTGGTAGGTAGCTTTGTTGGGTCTCAAGTCCAGCAAAGGCGCTGTTTTGTTGCCTAATGCCTTCTCCACACACTGGCACTGCAGAGCCCTGCTTGGTTCTGCTTCCCCAGGGCCCCCATCGCTCGCCCCCCTTAGTCCTAGGTCAACCTGCGGTATTGGAGGTAGCACTGAAGGCTGAGAAGGCCAGCGATGAGTTGAGTATGGCAAACAGCAGAGTGAGTGTGTGTCTGGGGCTTGGGGGGGAGGGGTGGGGTGGGGGTGGTTTGAAGGGGGAGACGTCTGGTGAGAGGCTCGGGCTCAATAATGTAAGGGGATGGGCAGGCCACGTGACTCCAGGGAGGCGGAGTCAGCGAGCTGGAGGGAGGACTCGCAGGCCTCTGGGAGGGGTGCGGGGTAGTTGAGGGGGGAGCGATCTGAATAATTGAGGAGCTGTTCAGCAGCAGCGGCTGCCTCCAGCCTAGCTTTGCCACCGCCACCCGCCTTCATAGGTGGAGACAGAGACAGGCGCTGTAAGTGCGGAAGGTCAGCCACCAGCTCCGGCAGCCAGTTGGTCGCCTCCAGCCCTCCGGTGAGTGATTTTTTTCCCCTATCCGCAATTTGCCCCCTTCCGCACACTCGGCGTCTCACTTGGCCCCTCGCAAATGGGATGATGTCTTTGGTTGACTGAACCCGGGAGCTGAAGCTGCCGGGAGGGAGGGTGGGGGGCGGGAGTAGGAACATGGCGCGGAGACTGAGGGTCCCCTCCTGGAAGGGGTCCCCTGGAAGAAGGAAGGAGCTGGGTCGTGGTGTCTCCAGCTCTGACTCAGAATGGGGCCCTAATAGCGTCCAGGATCAGGAGACAACGGGCTCGGACTCGCGGGAGGTGCCTAGCGCACTGTGCAAATGCAGAGGCAGAGGAGAGAGCCTAGAGCAACGTCCGGGCCGCCTGGGTCTCCACAGACCCAGGGTCGGTCCTTTCCACCCCGTCCTGGCACGCAGCCGACTCCGGCAGCTAGGTTCTCGGCCTCGAACTGAGCCCACGGAAAGGAAAAGACGCTTTTCCGGCTGCAACCCTCGGGGAGGGCGGGGACAACGTCTGCCCTTTACCCGAGAGCAAACTCTTCAAAGGGACTCGAGCTGGTCAAGGCGCCAGCGATCACTGAGGGTTATTTATCCCCAGAGAGCGGTGACACTCGGGGACAGCGAGGAGAACGTTATGGGAGAAGTGTCCGGGAAAGCTCCCTGGCCAGAGGAGGCAGCCCCTGCTAGAAGACTCTCACGCAGTCAGAGCTTCCTCCTTTCCCCATCCCAAAGCATATCAGTTTCCTAGGAATCTACATGATAGAATAGGGCAACGAACACCGGCGGGATGCAGCCCTGAATCTACTTCCCCTCCTGAGTCACCGCCCTCCCACATGTGCATTTTATTGTGATTGAAGAGTAAGATAGAAGTCGCCAAATGACTACAAGTGAAGGGGGGCGGAGGAAAGATGTGGAGGCCGGAGCATTAAGGCTCTCACCTGCTCCTCTCACTCCTTAATACGTTACCTGTGCGAAGGTTTTGAATTGAGAGTCCAAGGAATGAAATCTGCTTTGGGAAAGGATTATCACCTAAGTATCGGGGCCAGCCACTTACCCACCTCTCTGCTGGGTAATGGGTGCTGGAAAACAGGAAGGGCAGGGTGGCAGCAGGCAGAAACCCGGGCCGCAGAACGTGCGGCTGTAATGGGGCGCTGTCCGCGGTGCTTAAAGTTCTCCGAGGTGGGGAGCTAATACTGGCCGGTAACTGACTGCTCACAGTGCCAGTATTTCTTGCAAACAGAAACTGAGTTAGTACCACAGAGAGGGTCTGGTGATGCAAAGGAGCAGTAAAGGCGTTCTGCCTCCCCCAAAACCACTAAGAAGATTTCTCACACTCCCTGGGTACAGGAGCAAGGAGCAGGTTTGCTAACTCTGGGTAGTGTTGTGTTCTATTTCCTCTATCTCTGCGGCGAATCTTCCTGTTGGTAAAGTGTTGGAAAAGCAGTTAGGGATGCTGTTATAATAAGCAAATCTGTGGTTTTATGATACTACACAAAAGAAAGAACTTCATTAATGGATTGGGTTTTCTCTCCCTAGCAAAGGCTTTTCTCTCTAACCTGTTGTTTACATCTTCTAATAGAGGGCTCTAAGTGTTTTTCTATTTTCTATTTTTCCTTTGGTATTTTACATTACATTGAGATGGGGAAAGTGGTAAACAATTTGAGGAGGCCAAGTTAAGAGAATACTTGCAGAACACATAGCATCTACTGGATGACGTTATCTCATTTAAACTTTACAATAGCTGCTAACCAAAGAGTGGCAAAGATTTTTTTAAAAGCTGAGGTTAGGTATCTGGGATCCAAGATTTAGATTCAAATCTACTTAACTCCACAATCCAAGCTATTTCCATACAAATAACTCATTTAGGCATTTGACTTTAGATAACAATTATTAGGGAATAAAGAAGAGAATGTCAAAGGAGGAAGGCTTGTTTTCTTTTTCACACACACTACTCTCTCTTCCAACCCTATTCTTTTTAATCTGTTCACCCACCCACTGTCACTCACTCCCACCATACCAACTGCTTTTGTGCATGCTGCTTGAGATACCACTATTCACACAACTTGAGCTTCGGGATTACAGAAACAAGTTAGAAGACTGAAACAGCAGGCTTACCTAGAATAGCAGCAGGGCTTCAGGGAGTCTGGAAAACTAGAGTACACATGTGCTTTCATATTGAGAGTTATGCTTTTGAGTTTCAGGGCTGGAAAATCTTTTTAAAATATTCAACAACACTGTTATATATGAAAGAGAATTTGATCATTAGTCTAGTTCAAACCATTGAAAAATTACCAGTTGACTAGTCTCCAAGGACATTCCTCTGACTACCACATCCATGACACCTCAAATGTTCTTCTGTGCTATGTTGTATCATTTTTTACAAGAATATCAGCATTAGTGAACTATATTCAGTAATATAGTGCAAATACAAAAACCTAAAATACAAACTGTACCCTTAACTACTTTTTCATCTATTCTTTCCCTTTTGTTCTCACTAATTCAGTGTTGGCTGATCCAACTTACCTAGACATCTGGCCCACCTTCTTCAGTCACAGCTCTCCCTCTGGCAGTAATTAGTAAGTGGAGATGATGGTGTAGGTATTTTCTTTCTTCTTGATTCTACATAGATTTTCTCTATTCCCAGCAAAATAAGTTTTCCAAAATTAATCTGCATCTTCTTATATTCCTATCTTTTTATGAAGATGTGGAAGAGGCTCTAAAACAGCCTAGATAAAAATAAATGATCATTTTAAGTGCTAATATCTTCAAAATGCTTATCATACACTAAACATTGGCTGAATTCTTTCATAAATCATTTCATTTAATCTTCACAATTATATCAGATAATTTCATAAGACATAGTCTTAGACTTCTTGTCCACTCTGGCATACAACAGAACTCAATATCCTGTTTGTTTATTTTTGCTTCCCTTTTCAACCCACAGTTAAATCGCACCTTCACTAATTGGATTTTTGTAACCCTGTTAATTATATTGGCAAGAAGAACTCTTTTATTGAATTGGATAGTTCAGTCCTGCTTTAATACATAGAGTTTAGAAATTAAAATTCAATTCAAATAGTACTGTTCTGCTCTTTTATCTCAATTATATTTACCACAATATATTTCCCCCACTTGTTATCCTTTACTTAAAGGATGTGTCTTCATAATGCTAATATGTACATTCTGTTTTATACTCCCACTAGAACCATTTAAAACATGACTCATAATTAAATACATAACTTGTATTAGGCTTTCACTGGTTGATCCTGCAAGGAAACTGCAATCCTCTGAGCCTGTGAACCAGAATCTTAAACTGACTATAACTCCTCTGTCCAATATGGTGGTGACAAAGTACATATGTTTATGTAAACTTTAATCAATTTAAATTTTAAACATTAGAAATTCAGTTCTTTAATGATATTAGGTATAGTTCAAGAGCTCAATAACTATATGTAGCTAATTATTAATTATTGGACGATGCAGATATTAGAGTATTTCTAGCATTACAGAAAGTTCTACTGGGTGATGCTATTTTGAAAAATGCTGAGAACTAGGAATTGAGAAGGACATAGGGTCCTGCTTTGAAATTTCTATCAAATGAATATTAAAAGCCATTTACATCCAGGATGCCCCCAGCACCCAAAGATACCCAAAAAAACTGAGCTAGCAAGTAGGAGGTAGGAGCTGTAGGAGCTGCTGACCTCTGGGATTTGTGTGATATGAATTCCATTTTACATAGAGTAAGGTGTTCCTGAATGGGCCTTGTCAGTTTCTTAAATTTCCATTCAGAAATAATCTTAAAAGTTTTTATCCAGAATTCAAGTTTATATGTGTATTATATATGCATGTGCATCTTGTTTTCTTAAATACAGTATAATAAATATGGAAAAATACAGGATTTATAGTCAGTAGTAAGTATGCTTTTTACTACTATTTGGTGACATTATAAGACCCTCTAGACATCTATTTCTTCATTTGTAAAATGTATATGAACATTCCCATATTTATATCTATATCTATATGAGACTCAGAGTGCATCTATATGAATAAATCTATTTTGCAAGAAGCATTTTGAATCTGTAATAGTTGATTATTGCATTTAGATATAGCATGGTTCATGGCAGCGTAGTCATAAACAAATAGGGCAATGAACCATATGTATTTGTGGACATTTTTTAATCCCTGGTATCAACGCATTTTGATTTGTTGTCTTTTTTTTTTTTCAGTGAAAAGTAGAACACTGAAGGAAAAATCTGTTTGGTTTTTGATATTTCTGTTTAGTCATGTGCTATAAATTTAAATACCATGTATTGTTTGTATTGTTTGGTCCTAGATATTTCCTTTGGGGTTGAAAATAGCAGTAAAAGATTTCAGTTGTCCTGAAACAGCTTTTATTTGTTTTTTAATTAATTGTCACTAATATTCTTGTCATAATAATAAAGATTCAGAGATAAAAGAAAAAATATTATAGAAATTCATTAGTAAGAGTTGGTAAGAGGCTTAACATTAAAGGTATGTTTTTACTATTTATTAATTATAATGAGCTTCTTATAATAAGGAATCAATGAGGAAATAACTCTTTCAGGAATTGATTAACCTAAAATAGAAGTAAAGATCATAATTCTTTAGGTTATACCAGGGTCCTGACCTTAAATAAGGAATCTTTAGACCATCCATACTCTCAAGTAAAATTTGTTGGAGTCATATAGGAGCTTAAGTATTTAGCTAACCTTTATTCCCAAACCTGTCATTTATTGCCTTCAGTTATGGTGTTACACCTTCATTTATGGTGTTTATGTCTCAAGTAGGAGGCTTCTGTATATCCTTATCTCAGTCAAGAGATGACACTAAAATAACCATTCTTTTTTTCAATGCTCACAATTTTAATACTTAAAAAATAGTTTTCTTTTATAACCTAGTGCTCAGACATTACAGGAAAAAACCTGCAAAGAAAGCTATTTCATCTGATGCTTTTTAATTACATTTATTATGGTTTAAAATGTCATG